TGGATTTAGCACGGACACGCACCAACCAGCCGTTTTACCGTGGAACCAAAAAGTGAATCTGGCCATGTAGTTCCGCTGGCTCTAAAATGGATCCAGTTGACGCTACTGTACCAGCTAGAGCTAGAAAAAGCGTCTTATGAAAAACGGCGGCGTAAGGCGTGACTCCTTTCAAATAAGAGAAATAAAATATAAATTTAATATGCTATTCTAATTATATACCGTTATTGTCTCGTTACGCATATTTGACATTGTTATATTATTACTACGTTCTGTCAGACAATAAAAAGTACGCAAATGTATGAACAAGCCGCAAGTAGTTGGGCCATTAGGCTGTACTCTCTGCGCGATCCAACGAATTTTCTGCCTTTCTTACCGAATTTATGGAATAAGCAAGCTATCGGCTCGCGTTATCCGAACGACACGAAGGTACGGGACACCGATGTGCTCGTGGGATATCTTATTCTATTCTGGGTGATCCTGTATTTTCTGTATGAGAAGTGTCTTAATGTGAGCTTTTGATATATTAATATTATATTATACTGTGTATCTTTTGTTAGAAATATATATGTATTTGATATTTATATTTGTTTATACAGTCGCTATTCAGGCGTATGCGTTTTCCATTGGTACAACGAAGCAGAATAATTAAAGCGGCTTGGAACTGTGGATTCTGTTTTGGTAGTGTATGTTACATGAAGTCATCAGCTACGCAAATCCTGAATTTTGCACCCCATGAGCTGGGAATGACATATCAGGAATTGGGGCTTGCATTGCATAAGAGCTTTTACTTTCATCAAGCGGGTATCGATATATTGTGCTATGGTGCTTGGATGAAGGGCTGTGCAAACTTACTTTTTGCATCTTTCATCTTGAATCCATATCAGCAAAAGTAAATCTTTCAGTTATAATCAGTCACCATCTTCTTGAGACATAATATTTTTCTGTTATTTATTTCTTTACATCATTATTTCCTTCATTTTTTCTTCCGCTTACTAATCATTCTGAAGACTTTTTGTAAATAAATTTTGATACTTTGACTTTTAATGTAATATGATTATATTGAAAATTAACACAATTGCCTTTTTGTATTATTAATATTATATATGTTTTATATAATTCCATCAATCAAGAAATATATATGTATATATTTGATAGTTATAGGTGGTGTACAGTTACAAGTACTTTTCTAATATACAAAACTATTGACATTGTAATAGTTAATGTTTGTCGCATTCTATTATGCATTTTTCAAACTATTGGAAGACCTATTTGCAAGCTGTTATTTTTATTCCACTGCCTGACTTGGTCAGTACACGTTATAATTTCTATGATATCAATTTACTGTATAACAGTAAACCCAATTTATATTTGTTTACAGGATATATTTGTATTTGTATTATGTGCCTACATATATGCTTTGGTCAGAAAAAGTTGAATATGCAAGAACAGAACCTGGTTTATGGCTTTGGTTTGCAGCAGAGTGCTTAGATTCGGTAAGAGTATTTCATAATATCTTAAATATCTATATTTCAGATAATGAGATTAAGGCTTATTATAAATTTAAATCATAAACAGATATTTAAAAGAGAGAGCTACATTATATTAATTTAAATATATGATTAGGTATGGTTAAGACTTATTGGACATGCAAAAGCTACGCATTGGCTCGAAATTTGCCTATTTCCACCACCGACGCAAGAAGCAATTGAATTAGCAGGCATTCATAAAAAGCATAAAGAGTCTTTGAGGAAATTTAATAATAAAAAAGCAAAGAAAGTTGAATTATGGCAAACCCTAGTTTGTAAGTAAGCTCATTACTTTTTCATTTGAAATCTGAATTGAATTGTAGTTTAGATAATGTGTTATTGTATAAACAGGCGCGATGGCGATTAAAAAGAAAATTAAAAGGATTCGTCAAGCTAAAAACAATATAGACGAATCGACAGAAGATTCTAAAAAAAACAAAACTGCGTAAAACAAATATATTAAATGACGAGTTAACGAAGGATTAGCGAATTTGAACAATTCTAAAAAACAGCTGCAGAAGTTTCACATACGACACGAGCTTCTTTCAGATGAATTTATTTACACAACGAAAGAATAGTAAATATTATGGTATCTAAAACATCGAGTTATACGAACTTTTTTTAGAATTATATGTAAATTGTCTTATGGCATATGCCTTTTTCAACAATTGCTCCTTTCTATTGAGAAGACAATTAGGTATATGTTATATTTGTATATAATTATAAATTAATAGCAGAACATAAATAAAGCAAGTAAATTGCATCTTTTTTCCGAAACAATGAAAAAGAAAAAAATCAAGAGTAATGTACAAGACTATATTGTAGTTTTTATATAAAAATTAAGTTCTATTCTTAGAACTTAATTTTTATATAAAAACTACAATTTTTGATTTTGAGAATTTTGTAGATATATATCCGTTTATGTAAAAAATTTAATTAGTTCACACGTTTATAATTTTAATAAGACCTAATAACCTCAGCAACAAACTAAATGTAACCCAATAATATTACATTAGAGTTAAAGGCATTTTTTAGGTATACTTGAAAATATTGTTATATATCTCATCAATTGCCTAGTTGGTGGCTCAAAGGACTTATGCTAGTCATATCACATTATAGATGTAATACACGATATATCTATTATCGAATGGCATTCTTATCCATGATATAAATACACGTTTTTTTGTGGGAGCTATGATTGTACGTAAATTCTCGAAAATTATGAAACTATACATATATATAAGTGATTCTATATTGTTAATACAAAATTGTGTTATTATGCAGTTTATGTATTTGTCATTGGTTATATGTTGACCAAATTGAGGCATTGTTTCTAATTCAAAGTAACAGATTGATTTGATCACATCAAATTAGACTACATATAGTGAATTTGATATCCATTCAAGTTATCATATTTGTTTATGGCAGTAAATGGGAAACATGTAATGCAAGCAGATTGTATTACGTGCATTTTGAACAAAAAAACTATGGCAGCAGTTTCAATGATAATGCTTGAAATGTGTCTACTTGATTTACATTCGAGTTGTGCACTTAATATCGGTGAACGAAATGTTGTGCCTATTGTTGCCTTAAAAACAGAATATTATCAGTAGTATTCTTTTTTATTCTTATATAAAAAGAATAATTTATTTAAATAATGATGTGTCTTTTAAATATATTACGTAAATGAAGATGACGATAATTTATAGATAAGTTTAATATAGATCTCTTATAAACACACTCACAATATTTTGTATTGTTTTATATCGCGCGTGTGTGTATATATGTGGATTATTTATACGTTTACGAATTTATACTGCGGTCAGAAATGCAATTTGTGTTAGCTATCATTGCACTTATTTCGGCAAAATATAATCGTCATCTTTATTATTCTTACGCATTTATACTTGATGATTCCACGCACTGTCCGTTAAATAAAATAAAAATATCTAAGCTAAAAAAAAATATATATATACATATTTTTAAAATTTATTTTAGCAATAATGACGAGTCTATTAAACAATTTACCATCGTCATATTAGTTTCATGTGATCGTGAAGAATAATTGCTAAAATAATGATGGCACTTTCTCTGACTGCACTTGCTTTCTTTCTTTAACGTAAACACAATTTTGCAATGTAATAGTAACAATTTTGAAAATAACACAAACTTAAAAGGAACTTTTGCATATGACGAAGAAAATTATATAGGTTTATATTATTTATCGACAAAATTATTATATTTCGATTCCAAAATGATACATCACATTGCAGGGTTAATAAAACTTACAAATTACATCCATCACGTAAATTATCTATCTATAATTAATTTATTTAATCGCGCCGATATACAATCTAAAGAGTCTTTTTTTTCGTACTAAATTATATCGAAACGTACAAAGTATCAAACACGGCGAACTACTGTCTCATGATCCGATTACATGTGTTTCTCGCTAATAATAAATTATCGATCGCAGTACTTACTGTTTTTTTTTCTCTTTTTGGCAAGAATAACGGCAGGCCGCCGTCGTTGATAAAACGAATTGGAATTTAATGCTACTGTAGGAAGACAATAAATCATGGAAACGCTATCAAACAATTCTCGCTATCGTATGTATATATTACGTATTCCTTCAAATCCGTTTAATAAATTGCCGACCGTATCGGTCGATGTATGTGGTGCTGGAACAAATATAATTACGAAAGTTACTCTTATTACAAACATATACATTATGAGCAATAAAAGTTGAGTCCTCTAAACTTCCCTTCTTTTAGGCCCAACCTGTTCTCTGCGCCGTGTAATCGATGCAGATATATTTAGAATTTCACTTTTTATATATATTTACTTTTTTTTTTTTTAATACGAGAGAACACGCACTTTCGTTCTTTGTGAAAATATGGCCCCATTGTTACAGGCTCGATGTAGTGTATTGGGAAATGTAGTATTCCTTTTTTTTATTTTCTGTGTGTTCCTGAGTCTGCAACAGGCTTCGTACAATTTCGTGCCACTTGCATCCTTCGTCTCTCGATATTTATATTCGCAAACGTATCTTTTGTACTAAAACAATCTAGTAATTTATTCGGTATATTATCTTATTGCTCGAGTTTTTTGCATTCTTAAAGTATCTTATAATATGTACTGACAAAATAAAGTAATGTTAATTAATATTATTGTGTCTATCGAAAGCGTTACAAAAGCGCAATTGGCACGAAATACGTACTGTTAAGATCTTTCTGAATTAATTCTACAGTATATACGTGTTTATCCTCCCTTTACCTACTATATATATTCACTTCCTTTATTAAACTTCATTATAATTCCCTAGTTGCGAAACACAGGCCGCATCTGAATCCGATGACGTTAAGATAAATTCTTCTTGTTGCTCGAATTTTATTGTTATCTTATCGTATACGCAATAAGTAAAGATTGTATTTAGTCTCCTAAAAGATTCGTGACGATTAACTTGGCTGGCAATAATTTTCCGCAAACATATTATTATATTATGACATATATTTAAAAATCTGATTAAGCCATGCAAAAAATAAATGTATACTCTATCAACCTGCGCAACTTGAATTTCCTTCCTATTTAATTCGAGAAATAAGAAGGTATATCTTGCGTACACATCGGATTGTGTATTACCTACACGTTATGAACTTCTTACACTGTTCACGTGCTACACGGAATCAAACGCGATCAGCGTGCAAATAGTTGAGACATATTTGTTGTCGTGATACTCCTTTCTTTATCACCCTCTATGCGTTTGCGCAAAAAGTTTATTCTCCGCTGTAGCTCGAGAATTCTTACTAAGACGACAAAATCAATGCACGGATATGACTGTAGATCACTATCATCTATATAGGTCCCTATAATTAATCAATATATTGGCGCAAGTAAACGGCAATATGTTACTATTAAATTGAAAATAATGCAAAGAAAAATCAACGCAACATCGCTAAAATAATCTCCAATTTCGAAGATCAAAAACCTATAATTTGAGAAAAATTCTGATTCTTTTAATTTACCTACCTATACATAAATCCTCTAATTAACGAATATTCTGAATTTATAGCGGAGTAGAGATGAGAGAGAGAGAGGAGTATAGAACACATATTGTGCCTTAATAATAAGAATTCTCTGTTCGGCAGCGACGCAACGATATACATTCACGCAAGGTTGAAGACTTGGCGAGGCTTCAGTCTCTTTCGGACGTTAATACGTTTCGTTAGTCGTATTTGTCGTAATAGATTGTTATATATGTGTTCGCATATGGCTTTACGCGCGCGGCATTAACGTAATTAGTAATTGTCCCTCAGAGGCTCGTGACGATGTGTGGCTTGGCAGTGGTGGAGGCAATTTCGGAGAGTCGTACATCGATGGGGATGCGATCGTCGTACAAGGTCGGCGCCTGTAATATAATCCCAGCCGTGCCGACGACTACGGCTAGCGTAAAGATCCAGAGGAATAATCTGTCGAGCACCATCGCGACGTATTTCCAATCCTCCTTGACCTTAGCCAAATCATCGATGACAATTAATAAAATATTAGCTTAAATTAATGCGTTTTCTTAAAAGCTAATCACGAAGCGACAAATTATTGAAATACAATATATTTCCATGTATATATCGTAATGTGTAGATAATATATAGTATCTAATAAAAATGTAAAATGTAAGATATATATTTATAAAACGTCTATAAAAAAGATATCGAAAGATATCCAAAAAGTTTATTGATTTTACAAATTTATCAAATATTGTAATTTCTTGGAACATTTTATTTTTGTATTTTTTCTAAATCTTTGGATATGTATTATGTCGATTACACACGAGGTGTTTTCTGGATACATCAAAATAATGCATTCTTAATATTATTCGTGAGTTATAGGAAATTATGTAATTACTCTAGTGGAATCCTCTTCTCTCTTTGTATGATCGGCGATGAAGCGGATGCCTTCTATGGCCTTGTACAGTTCTGGGCAGTGATGCCAATGGTGAAGCGTGTTACAGAGAGCGTCGACGCTCTCCTCTGTCGGGAGCTGCGGCGGCGGTGGTGCGGCCGTTGCCGCTGGCGAACCGTGGATACGACATGTGCTTCCTAAATTTACTGCTTCCAACTCCCTGAGTAGAAAATACACAAGTTGCAAAACAACGGTGAACCATTATCTTGAGGGGATTTAAGATAAAGATTTAAAATAAAGAGAAGTATTTTTCCTAAAATCTTGATAACGTATTAAAGGGAACAGTATTGTGCAAAAACGAATCAACAATCGTCCACGAAATTTTAAATATATCTAGGTATGTGGGAGTATTTTTCATTCCAGCGCTAATTTCGACATATTCTTTTTCTCTGAATTTTTTGACATATATTTTTGCACCTCTCACGGACAGCATTCGTTTGTTTAACTATTTTCACTGATTTGTAAAAATCATCTCGTAATAAAGAATTTCATCGACGCAAATATTTGTATGACCTATTTTAAAAAAAATCTATGGATTGATTCACATTCCGCGTAACACCGATTTAAATCTTATTTAAAAAAAGAGATGTATCCCCTTATTAGAGTGGAATAAGAAATTACTATATATTTTCAGTTCGTAGATCATGAAGGACGTAATGAAGATATGTATCATATATAAAATGCGAAATTGTAATAATCAAATTAATTTTACATCATATATAAAATGTAAATATTATTTTGCACCGTTCCGAGAGTATTCTCAACGGGACGCACCGAGGATGCAGCTCGTCCCGTGAATCGACACTAGGAAAAAGCACAGAGGACTCGACCAACTCCGAGGCCGAGGACTCGACGAACAGTGATGGGTCTCGCAACTCGAGACCGTTGCATGTTCTGACCATCACGCGATGTCCATGATGTCCGCCCATGCTACGCTTGTCTATCTGGTACTGCGGCCTGAAGTGCAAAAACGATATTGTTTACCTGACGGAGATTCATTTTCGTCTTATCAGATCCGATTTCTAAACTATGAAAATATTATAATTGCGTTGAAATTCAAATACGATCTGTCAATGACTCTGTATACATAACGCATCTCTTGCGTATCTCAAGTTCCTGATAAATAAAATGATCAATTATTTCGATCGCATGTGAATTGGTTTTCCCCATAGTTCTGAAGTCGACATTATTTTATGAACAACTAAATAGAATCTCCGTTTGCTTTTATTATAACAGTTTTAAGCCCAAAGCTTACAGCGATGAATGAGTTATTGCTTTATAAAATTTAGCTCACGATATTCGTGGCTATACATGCTCCTAATTTCTAGTTTGACAGAGTAACAAATGTTTCGAGATATATCATATATATAATATTAAATCAGAAGAAATAAATCTAACAATTTAATACCAATATACGACAATGATACAGCCATAGTGATAGTGCCTAATTCGGCGACAGTATCGATAAAGCATTATGTTTAATTGCGTGTTGTATAAGTACATAAGAAATGAGAGTATCACGCGAGATTACATGTAAAAAATATATTACACATCATAAAATAAATTTCCTGAAGAAAGATATAATTATAAAGCATATCAAAGTTCAATTTCATTACTTGGTATCATTAAAAAAATTTAATTCATAATTTTACATTATTTCCAATTTAATAATATTAATTTAAACGAAATATATATATCTATACATTCTTTTGAAGAGATTTACACAACATTTGAATATACAATAATACCAATTTTTTTTACTTTATAATAAAATGACACGAATGACACTTGTTTCAGCAAAATCGTTATGAAAGGGTTTCGCTAGAAATCAGGAAATTTTATTTGTATGACAATAGAGCGAGGAGATGCGACTAAAGATCGGCATACACAATGCAACGCGATGCACCATAGTGTTAAATGCTTGCAGGTATGGCGTGACACTAACGTCACGTGCACAGGGGAACGCTAATGAAGTGCTTTAATGCCCATTCTGGCGTGATTCCAATGACCGGGCCACAAATGCCGGAAGAATATATCTTGCCTGGAATCGTAATCGGTTCTCTGCGTTGGCGTATTATACCTGCGCATTACTAGCAACCTTGGCAGAACGTGGATGAACACGCGTCGTACCCACGGCGCCATTACGTGGGTCTGCGGTGAACGGAAGTGAACGTTGAGAACCACCACTGTTACGCATATACTGCAAGGCAAGAAACAATGCAAAAATGTCGAAATGCGAAAAACGTTCCATACATCTTTATCTTTCTCTCCGTATAATCAATAGATAATTATATTAATTTTAAATTTAAGTAGCACGAGAGAGAATTTTTTTTACAAGGCAGACAGAACAATAAAATTGTAAATAATGTGATACGTCAAAAAAAAAGCATTGAATTCTTCCATATGTATTTTATTTGATTAAAATGGTTGCGTTAACTTGACAAACGTGGCGTTTTCGATGTACGTCTTCTTATTACAATCTCCTTTAGTCACAATGACCATTGTCTACCACATACCTGAAAGTGTCGAGGATCATAGTGAAGAGGACGAATTTACCGAGGAGCGGTACCACGAGCGATGTGGGCGGGATGATTTCAGCCAGCAAGAGGAAGAACACAGTCAGTGACAATAGAATCGAGATGGACAGGCTGACCTACAAGGCAGAAACAGATTTTCTCGGTACATCATGATATAATCACGTTATCTACAGAAAATGCTGACAATCTTACAGATGTCTGCACCATACTCTTTTATAAATATATTTTCTGAATATTAAAAATATTACATTAAAAATAGAGATATTATATCCCAGACAGCACAAAACGTCCTCAGGATCATCCTGAATATGTCCAGGATGGTTCAGGATATTTGTAGGATGTTTTAAGATATTATTATAAATATATTTTATGAAAATTTAATATGCATACATGATTACTTTCGGTTATGTAGGTTATTTAATATAATTTAGAAATTTTAAGTATTGTAATAAGTATTAATGTCCTATAAATGTCCCCTGGATAACCCCTGGATGTCTGTAGGATATCTGCCCTGTCTATTATATTGGATGTCCTTTGGATTTCCAGAGGATATATACATGTGCAATTAATTGTTAACATTAATTTCGTTTAATATTAATAATTGAATTTGATGCGCACATTTTCATATATTCAAAATTATTATTTATTTAATATTTCATGAGAAATGTTACTATGCGCAACATTCCAAAAACTTTACAAAAAATAGTATTCAACCGCTAGTTCGTTTGTTTATCGCTATGCGACGCGCGAACTCGTATTTGAGATTTGGTCATGAGAATTATATAAAGCTTGCAAAGAGCAACTAACAGGAAATTAAAAATATAATTATTTTTTATCAGTTCAATTTCTGATGCAATCCCAACATAGGGAATTCAGATATTGGATTGTTTTGAAAATATTACACATAAACCTAAAATATTTATGTACAGCACGAAAACCTCAAATATTAAAGAACGTGAACTATTTTTAGTATTAGATTTTTCGTATTGGCAGTAAATAACAGAACGCAATCTTAATTTATATTTAAATTTTAGAATTTGTTCTTTTTAACGTGTGAAAAATATCCCTAACATATCCTATAGAAATCCTTAAGATGTTCCACAGGATTTCCCTGGATTCTCCAGAGGCTAGTGTATGGCTATCATTTACTCTTCCTCAGGACATCCAGAGGAGATCCGAGGATTAAAATAGGATATCCTCAGGATATCCTACATGTATGTCCTGGATGCCCTTTGGACGTCCTAAGGACATCCTTGTGCTGTCTGGGATAATACAATAATTTAAACCTAGGTTTTTGTTTAAAACTTATACTCTTCGTTTCTTAAACGCATAGCATATTTCGAATGCTTGTATACAATTGTTCAATATTTCACATTATTTTATTTATAACAAAAGCTTTTAATGGCGACATGGGATATGGGCTACATCTTAGAAGAGGATGAGACCAGTTATAGAGAGAGTATTATCTCTCCATCCTTTCGCATTGATCCTGCGCACCAAGCATACGAGACACATTTAAAGCTGCTTTACTCTATCTTCCTCGTATTTCCATTGCGTATTCGCCGATTGTTAAATGACTGGCAACCTGATAACCTTCTCTTCCTTTTCTCCGCTTGTTCAACCCACCGAAGAGGATCTCTCTATACCTTCCGCCCGACGACAAAGTGGAACAATATGTCTGAATTATATAAGCCGTTAAGCGTGGATATATTGATGCTCGAGGTCGAGTGTGTCTTACAGGGAATTTAAAGACGCAACATCGGCGGCGAAAAGGTCGCGATCTATACTATATTCCGATCTAATCGAGTCAAATTTTTGTTGCGTTTGTAAAATTAATTTTGAACTGCGATTTTGCCGAAACAAAATCTCCGAGGGCATATAAAGAGAAATGCCGCGATAAGATCGATCGCGAATTAAATTGTAATGCGCGAACTATACCGTTCTATTCTGATCTAATCCAGTAAAATGTGTGTAAATTCAATGCAAAATTGATTTTTTTTCCATAACATATCTATATCGGGGCATTTAAAAATACAATGCATCGCGGCGAGAAAGTTGAGAGCGGATTAAACTACATGAGTTTTTTATTATCTAATTCGATAAAATGTTCGAGACTCAATCAATTTTCAAGTGTGCTTTTAGATTGAAATATTTTGAAATATTTAAAGATAAAATGCTAATAAAAAGAGAATGATTACTCTATACACATTTTTCTTTTTCATTTAATCCGAATGTAAAATATTTGCCTCTCCAGATTAATTTTTTTTATTATGTTCCTAAAATAAATTATTTCATTCTTGTGCCATTTCAGGAATTTTTTAATATGAAGAAAAATAAAACACAAGCAAGATAAATTGTATGAAGCACAAATACAGCGCATTGTATGAAATAAAATTGAAAAAGTAAGGGTTTTAAGAGCGATCTGCGTCGACTGCGTGAATTAATTACCTTCTCTCCGCTGTCACTTGGCAGGTAAAACACCAACACCGTGAGAAATGATATCCCCATGCACGGTATTATGAGATTAACGGTGTAGAACAGAGTCTTCCGTCTCATGGTGATGTTGAAAGTGATGTCGAGGTAAGGCTCGTCGCAACACGTGTAAAACTTTTCGTTTCTGCAATTCGTACATTCGCGCGCTTCGCTTTAACGATTGATATTATACATTAATCGCATATCTTATATATTTCTCACAACCTTCTTCGATCCAGGACCAAAGTCGAGATATTATTAATATTAATGCTAATTATTAATGAAGTTATTAAAACCCTAAATTAAAAAATAACGCTTGGAACACGATATGAAAGTCCAAAATTCTCTACCATTACTTATAATCTGTTAATAAAAGACTCCGTATATTTGTGTACTCGAGAGCCAAATGCAAATAATGTAGGAAAAATTAAAAAAAAAATTATTAAGCCGTATACGTACCTTACAGCAGGGACTTCTAGTATGTCCCATTCAACGGAAGTATAAAACTCCGACAGATCGACGCCGATGTCGACGACATTGCTGCCTCGCATCTCGTCAATGTGTCTAAGATCGACCTTAACATAAATTACTAAAATTTACAATGCATTGTTGATATCGCGCTGCTTAATGTCCAATCAATCAACACTAATTACGCTCTTTTTCTCTCACGACAAAAATTATATCCACGTACACTACTGACGGTAATGAGACATTTGAAGCTAATATAAATCAACAACCAAGCACGTATAAAGCGTTAATGTAAGGTGAAATGATGTAATATCGCAGAGACACTCCAGAGAGATCTCTTTAAATAACATTTAATATTTAGGTCAGACAATTCGTCTGGCGACCCCTTATCGGTTCTATCGCGACAATTCGTTTATACTGCGCGATAGTCGCCATTTATACTCGCGATTGTGAAGTTTTCACGTGAGTCTCTAACAAGCGACATTTTGCTCAATAAAAAAAAAAAAAAGATAACAAGCAATACGATCTCTCGCTATGCGAGTCTATAACCGACGACGCTAATATTCTCATCATAATGCGCTACAAAAGTCACAATTGTCATTTTCAGAATATTTATGATCGCCTTAACAAGATCTCCCGGAGATCTCTCTATTGCATCGACAAAACGAGGTCTTTCAGTCCCCGAAATTAATTGGATCGATTATCTAGAAAGGATACGCGTGTTATATAAGAGAAAATATCTAGAGAATGAGAAACAAATTGTTTAATTGTTTAATGACAAACTTTGCACAAATTATCGCAAATATCTTTCTACGTTAAAGAGCTTTCTAAAGATTGTTTGATGATTAAAATGTTGATTTGGGAAACAAAAGAATTTTTTTTCCTTTTTTTTTTTTTCGAAATACACTCGCGGAGGATATTAGATTGTTCTCACCTGGAAGCCGTCGTAAGTCCACGAGCCGAATTTCATTACGCACGTCTGCTCGTCGAAAGGAAAATATTCGACGTCAATCTCGCAGGAAGACTTATAAATCGCCGGCGGTTTCCACTCGACCCTACCCGTGTAGTTGAGAGTCGCCTTCGTCGCCAGCGTCACCTCGAAATTACCGTCGGCGCTGTCGAACGCAATACATAATTTCTTTTCTCGAATCCACGGTTCTGAACTTAAATGTTACATACGAAGGATAGAAAAAACGGCGAATACAATTGCCGTTGAAAATGGTCTTACTTGTTGTATAAAACTATATCGGGCCTCCATATATGATCTGACGGCACGTGCAGCATCTCCACCCCACCGTACTCTTTCGGATCCCATGTCAACTTGTAATCATACCATGACTGCGAACAGAGGATCGTTATTATCGCGGTATTCTTTCATCATTATTTTATCATCGTTATTTATTACGTTTTTCTTATAACGGTAACACGAATTGGCATTGCATTTCATCGTTCTTTGCTTTGCGTTTTGCACAGTGAACAAAATGTTTCTTTGTTATTACAATCTCTATTTGTCCCTGACAGAATATCTTTAATCTCGCGCGCGCGATATTTTTATAATTGTGTAAATAAAACATCAAATGAATGTGGTTATCGACAATTACATCATTACAGATAAAATCGTTGATAAATTCGATCGAAAATTCTCTTTATTTAAAAGCGCAAAATTAATCTTGCTACATTGGATAAATACCGCGAAACTATTTTACAGCTTTTACGATTCTACATTACGCGTAAATGTGCAGTGCAAATGCTTTTCTTTTAAACTCCTCGTGATTTATTCAACAGATTTAACTATCGCATCCTACTTCATGTATTTAAATGGAAACCGACAAAGGATCGGGAAAATCAGGCTGAAATTACTTTACGAACACTAGACCGTGACACCGAGGCAATATTTTGCAACTTTCCTCATTCAGAGTTAAGGTTGAAACGCGGAGATTTGCATACGGTGTACTAAACTTTTTCTTTTCTCTTGCTCGTCCAGTCTGGTCGAAAATTGTATCCCGCGCGTTTTATTAAAAAATTTCTACATCGTTGATCAATTCAATTTGTATATAATTAAAAGCTCGTTTAATCGCGATAAGATCAAAGAATGCGTAAGATAAAAATTTAATATTATACAGCAACTCACTGCATATTGTGGAAATTTAAAGCAAAGATTTTTCATCCGTGATATCCAACATTTATAAAGAAAGCCATAAGACGTATGGATCAAATTTTCATGACGGATTCTTGGACGCGAATCCGAAGCCAATTCTTTCTCAATGAAAACGACGAGAAAAGCATCATCCCAATGTTTAAAATTGTAACATTTTATATTTGTACGCAATTACGCTCCGAATTAATATCTCGTTAAAGTAAACTTGAAAGTAATTGAAGAATGCTTTGCAATTTTTTTTTATTTCCAACTTTTTAAATAAAATATTTCACAATTAATATTTTAAGATTTAAGGATGACTGATAACAATAGTTCCAAAGCTTTCTGTCTGCAATCGATAATTGTCGCCGTCTCTTCTCGACGTTACTGTTGAGAAAAAAATAGAACAAAAATGGAACAATTCGTGCATCGCCTGTTTATTCCGGACACCTCATGGAGCTTTGATACGAGCACATTATGCGCACACAAAGACACGATTGCTTTTATTACAGGCACCTTTCCATTTAGCGGAATGTCCGCCGATATTGGAGTTGTACTGGAAATGCGCTTCCTTGGGGCGTAGACACAGGATTATGCGTGCGTCATGTTGAATATTAGCCCGGAGCCGAAGTCTCCGCTTACAGTGTGTATATATTTGCCGGATAGAATATTACTTATGCCTTTGCATAGAGCAGGATATGACGTGTGCGCGAAATTTGGTCGTATGTTTGAACCGAAGGTAACGCTTAGTTAAATAGCGAGTGCTGCTCCATTCCGCGAAGTAACTAATTTAATATTCATCGCAAAATGTGGTATGCGGCAGAATTTTCGGGATTCTCGATATTTGCAGCTCCGACTCAATTTACAACGATATTTTGTATCGATCCCGGATCCTTCGGACGAGGTAAAATTTTTTTGCGACGATTGTAATCGCGATTTAATGCAATTTAAACTTGTCTTGTTAAATTTATTACGCGGATCAATAATGTTATTATGAGTCGCACACCTACAAAGGGCGACAATTATTGTAAAGTTACGTTTAAAGACATCAGTCGTTCTACCGATATCGGCGGACACGTTATTCGCAATGCGGACATTTTCGGCTAAGTTGCGCCAGCACGAACCGGTTAATCGCATCGATAAATCGCAGTAAAATTAACATTTTCGTGCGCAAACTTCGCGATAACATTAATGCATGACGGATCGTAGGAGATACTCTGAACTTTCTCTTCTCGCCTGGTAGCACGGGGTAACTTGTTCGAATCTCCGAAATGTATGCATGAACATCAACGATGTGCTTAGGTTTACCACGTAACACTAATATTTGGTGTGCTTTCGCGCGCCTATGAGGTTTTGTTGGACGACATGTATAATGAACTGATAGAAGTCATCAGATGCGGGATCCTGGGAATGCCCGTAACAGCTTGTAAAATTTAATTATGATTTGGATTAAAAGATTATCTCGTCAGTTTCATGGATATAATCGAACTGCGCAAGTAAAAATACCGTGTTATTTTTTTTTTCTTTTTTAATTTGAATTTATTTCTTTCAATGATTACCAAACAAAAACTCGATGAATACAAGCCGTCGACGTTCGAAATGAAGTCAGGATAAATCGAAATTTATAATAAAATTGATATGTTTCAATTTCATGAATTTCAATTTATTCGGACTTTACTTCTATTACCAATCCCGTTATTCATCCTATTTTATTTTTTTGATTGTTTTTCAACTATAGAATATATGAATTAAAAAGTCTCGATATCTGACAAGTATCTGACAAGTGAAATATGACAAAGAAAATCTAGAACAAACATACTAAAAAAAAATTATGTATGGCATACAAATGGAATTAAAATAACTCTCAATGTATATCGAAATTCCAAAATATAATCCCGTGCAGTTTTTCTCCAAATATTGCAATTAGAAATTTATTTATATATTATAGATATGTAGAGTATTTCTGTTTTCTTCTTCTTTCTTTCAATTCATATAACAGGATCTTCAAATTTATCAGACGTCGCCTTGTAATCGCGTTGCGAGGTACATCTCCTATCCTTTAATGACCTGATTCTCCGTCGCGAGTCGCGTATTTATTACACGAATCTATTTCGCTCGATATATATGCCGGGAAAAACGGTCGCGTACACATGGCGAATCTATCTATCTTACGTAATCCAGCGTTTGAAAGTGGGTTGCACGGTTCGCCGGAGTTATTTTCTGGCTTTTCGGGAAAGCGGAAGCTTCTGTCCGATCTTCGTTTCTACGTTCATACGCATATGAAAATCCGCGCGCGTTAAAACGTGTCATCGACAGGGGCCGTTGCGGATATTTATTTTCCACCTGGATGACGATTGGTCACCATCGACGGAATTTTCAACGGATTTCGAAGTTATCGGTACATAGAAGAATACCGTGTTATCGGTACATAATAGAAACTTGTTTCATTATTTCGAGAGTTATTCATATATGATTGCTTTTGAGATTTTTACGGAAGATCGAAAATATATTGAAAATAAAGAATGCATCGATATTTAGTAATTGCTGCTTTTATCACAATGTAAATTTTATGTTATTTAAAATTTTTATATATTTATTTTATAATCTTCTATTTTCATTTTTCGTAATTTTTTTTTACATGATAGCAAAATATATTACCTGTTCGACCCAAAGGTTCGTCGTCATGATTTGATTCTTCAAATTCTGTAAGAAAATAATTTTGTGAAAATAGACATCGCTGCTGCTCTAAAAATATATTACAACATTCCGTTAAAAACCGATATATCTCATGCTTTGCCGAAATAATTAAAAAATATATTATGTATATATATATATATATACATAATATATTTTTTAATTATTTCGGCAAAGCATGAGATATATCGGTTTTTAACGGAATGTTGTAATATATTGATTTTTCAAACAGTATAAACATAAAAAATATATATTTTTTATGTTTATACTGTTTGAAAAATCAATATATTACAACATTCCGTTAAAAACCGATATATCTCATGCTTTGCCGAAATAATTAAAAAATATATTATGTATATATATATATATATACATAATATATTTTTTAATTATTTCGGCAAAGCATGAGATATATCGGTTTTTAACGGAATGTTGTAATATATTGATTTTTCAAACAGTATAAACATAAAAAATATATATTTTTTATGTTTATACTGTTTGAAAAATCAATATATTACAACATTCCGTTAAAAACCGATATATCTCATGCTTTGCCGAAATAATTAAAAAATATATTATGTATATATATATATATATACATAATATATTTTTTAATTATTTCGGCAAAGCATGAGATATATCGGTTTTTAACGGAATGTTGTAATATATTGATTTTTCAAACAGTATAAACATAAAAAATATATATTTTTTATGTTTATACTGTTTGAAAAATCAATATATTACAACATTCCGTTAAAAACCGATATATCTCATGCTTTGCCGAAATAATTAAAAAATATATTATGTATATATATATATATATACATAATATATTTTTTAATTATTTCGGCAAAGCATGAGATATATCGGTTTTTAACGGAATGTTGTAATATATTGATTTTTCAAACAGTATAAACATAAAAAATATATATTTTTTATGTTTATACTGTTTGAAAAATCAATATATTACAACATTCCGTTAAAAACCGATATATCTCATGCTTTGCCGAAATAATTAAAAAATATATTATGTATATATATATATATATACATAATATATTTTTTAATTATTTCGGCAAAGCATGAGATATATCGGTTTTTAACGGAATGTTGTAATATATTGATTTTTCAAACAGTATAAACATAAAAAATATATATTTTTTATGTTTATACTGTTTGAAAAATCAATATATTACAACATTCCGTTAAAAACCGATATATCTCATGCTTTGCCGAAATAATTAAAAAATATATTATGTATATATATATATATATAAGATCAGCAGCTAAAATATCATTTTTGTCCTCAAATAATAATGTTAATAGTACTTTAAAATATATGATATTTTATATATTAATATATAAATACCTATATTTTATATTTAAAATTTTCTCTCAAAATCTTTATAATTTTCATCTGTTTTTTATACAAACAACATTGTGAGAAAATATTATTGCTTACCACATCGATGAGCTGCGAAAGCTTGAGCTTTATTTTAACGGTGAGGGCGTCTGTGACGTTGACCACTGGACGAACCAGCTTGTTGTAATTCGACAAAAGGTCGTCGTATAATCGCTTCGCGTCTGGATTTCCTGAGCATCCTAAAAATATAGAAAAAACATGTCCTAAACTTGATTCTCGCACTTAAAAAATTTTTTTTTTCCTAAAGTAAATTAATAGCAGAAAACTCTGTATTTCAAATATAATATTAAAATTGTCTATAAAAATATATATATTATACATATATTATTGTATGAATGATTATGGTAATTCAAAAATAATTTACTTTATTTCATACACACAATTAATTTTTAAGTTCATTTCTAAAATATATTTATAAAAAAAAGAATCTATTATATTTTTATTATATTCTTTAATTGTCATCTCAGAGATCCTTTTTTTTTGTTGATTTTAGTAGTGCAAAGTTTAAGGCTAATATTGCGACGGACAGTTAGATGCCGATAAACGAAGCAAAAACACGGCTCCGAGAAAGGACGCGGAGAGAGGAAAAGCGGGAAATATTTTATACTCGAGGGCAGATATCAAAGGAAGAGAGACAGCCGTGGATGGTTTATCCACGTAACAGGACAGCTCGGTAATTCCGCTTCGTAGTTTTCCCATTATCCGAGCCCATGTGAGCGTGCCGTGTGGATTTCGCTTTGCGCATATTTAACCCTTTGCCGTACGGCAGTACATAAAGTATTGCCGTCATTATAAACACCAACACGCTGGCCAAAAGCTACGAGTTGGATATACGCGCTATCGCCCGAACTGTTCTCCATTCATTTGCAATTTCAAGGTAAAATATTAAGCTTCTGGATTTGCGCACAAATTGTTCACATTAATGTTAAAAGCAGACAAAAGTACGATTTGAAAGCGTATTTTATTTTCATTTAATTATCTATCTTCCGTTTTCTTTGCTTGAAGAGATACTTGAAGAATCATAAATAACTGGATATTTAAAAATTCGATATAAATATCTATCTTCCATCTGTATTCAATGAATACATCGGAAACTGCATGATAAGATTAATCGAAATAAAAATGCATATATATCTCGCAAAAATAGCTCAATTTTCTCCATATTTTTGGATTATCTTACATTATTCATTTATTTATAATGATAAACACAAAGTGTACAATGGATTATAATTTATTTATATTCGTTGGTTCTGAGGAATTTTCATTAGTCAACGACAAATCGGAATCGATTATAAAAGTGACAAAATATTCGTTCATTCAAGGAGGCGCGGATATCTGTCGATATCTCGTCATTATAATAAAGTCGTCGATAGATTCGATTTACCGTTATATTATTTATTATGTTTGCGTACCATTTTATCGCCATTTTACAAGCTCTTGCTCGCAACGCGTGCACGATGCAACGTCGCCAGTGATTTTAATTTTGAAACCGAGCCAGAGAGCGCCGGGGGCTCTTCCGGCTCGTACGTCGGACGGCAGTCGAGAAACTGGATTCAAGACAAGCTGGGAAACATATAACCCCGTGAGTTTGAACTCGCGCGTTAGAATGTCGATAGTGATGTCCCGAGGATTTTCTGAGGATATTCCGAGCTTATCCCGCGTCCTTAATACAAGTAAAGTACAAATAATTTCCTGAAATAGAAATAATTTCCAAACGCTAATACTAGCCATATGTTAAAACTGAAGTACATGTAAAATTTTTTTGTTATGTTTAATTAGAAAATGTATTTTGATAGATCTTTCTACCGCAGCGTTATTCTTGTATCGATTCTACGTCGATAGTATTAAGATTTTGCGAAAAATCTTTGATAATGATGGAGAAAATGTTTCTAATTTATACAATTATAAGGTACATTTAAAGTTATTTGATTTTATACACTTTTGATTAAGGATGTTTTGACTGTACAATAGTAGCAAAAAACTGTCAAAATTTAAAAAAATATATATTTTTTATGTTTATACTGTTTGAAAAATCAAATAAATAAATCCGGATTATAAAAGGAATTAAAGTATCACAAAATAATATGGTTTTTAAAATCTTCCTAAAAGAAAATAGTTGTAATTAATATTTTTCCTAATTTATGACAAAAACTTTTGATCGTGAATACCCCCTGAAATCAACTATAAGAAACAAAAAAAAAAAAACAAGTAATTTGCAGAAAGAGAGAGAGACAGACAATATTTTTCTACAATTTTTAGTAAATAATTTTTAAACGAGTAAATGGATTTAAATCAAGTTTTGCATAAATATTTATTAGAGTTTTCTTAATATATGTGAAAATTTTTATTTCGTTGGCAATGTTTTTTCCTTGTCGAATTTGTCAATAAATGCTATAATTTTCCACGCGATTTTCCATAAGAATCAATAGTAACTTTAAACTTAAATAATTTCCAAACCGTTAAGAGAATTGTGCTCAGGTTTTGTACAGATATTCAGAAGAAATAGTAGAAATTTACGAAATTTCCATGCTTTTGTCAATGTTTTGACATATGACATACATCCTTAAATACATTTTAACGACACATATGTTTTATTTTGAGTATTTTATAGTTAAACATTCTAATCGTAGAGATTTCGAAGATATTTCAATATAATTAAGTATCAACAAACCATCTATAATTTATACAATTACATAATTAATAAATAATATTTATTTAAGTAATAAGATAATTAAAATTACGCGTATGATTATGCGAAACGCGAACATTCATCAAACAGGATTTTACTTAAAGGTCTATTTCTGTAATCGCATTGTTTGCTGTGTTCAATTGCGCACGTTTTCCTCGATAAAAATAAAGATGTTACGGCCGTTTGGCAAATGCACTTTATAGTACAGCGCAATCTCGCATATATGCGGGAAAGAAGAATGCTCAGAAATGCGACCGTAAACACAGACTACCATGGTCGCCGTACTATATGTACGTCCGTACTCACTAACCGATAGTGTTACGCATCTCGTAGACCACAGGCAGATGCATGATAATGCGAACGCATGTAACGGCGCGTTCCTGCGTATTATAGCGACATCGGGCTTGCAAATACACCCTCAGGAAAACGCTTTACGAGCCTCAAATAACGGATTCCATGATCTTCATGCACACCCACATCATTATTTGTACATGCATGTGAGAGTAATATTCTCTCATGTCTATATGTACGCGTTTCACATGGTATAAATATGTATTTCTCCCGCGAAATAAAGAGAACAATTTTTCATAAAAGATATTTTTGTTTATCACAAATAAGAGAAAATGGAATTGATGGCCTAAATTTATTACGATATCCTATAGTCCTATATTCATTTACTATGGATATCCTATATTCGTTTATTAATCCATTTGCTGCGGATAGGTGTGTATGTGTGTTTGCCACAGTCATTTATTAAAAATTCTTTCGAACAAATATAGTACAATTGAAAAAAAAAAATGCATTCTCTATCACGGAAAAAAAATGCTGTTGCTTCAATTAAAGTCTACGTCACGGGCTGCCACAGACATACATAGTTCATTCAATGATATTTTTATTAGACCAAATATCTGGATAGTTGTTTGAATAATCCAGATATTTGGTCTAATAAAAATATTATTGAATGAACTATGTATGTCTGTGGCAGCCCGTGACGTAAACTTTAATTGAAGCAACACCATTTTTTTTCCGTGTATGTTTTAATACGAAATAATACTCTTGCCTTTGTATTAATCAATTATTTTGTCAGGAGATATTTGGTCTAATAAAAATATCATTGAATGAACTATGTATGTCTGTGGCAGCCCGTGACGTAGACTTTAATTGAAGCAACAGCATTTTTTTTTCCGTGTACATTTTAACAAATAATATCTATTAATAATTACATTGAAAACAATTGAATTAAAAATATCTATGTGATATATCATAAATTATTATAATTTGAAAAGGAGATGACGCGGTGATTATGTTATGTAAAAGATGAAGTTTCTTCGCCACAATTAATATTGGGAAAGATAAGATAAAATTTTTGGACGGTTAATATCAGTGAATTAATATAGATCAAAGACATGCGATTTCCAGATTGATTATACATACCTGATATGAGCACCAACACTATCCACATGATCCCCACCAGGCTCTTCATCATGTCATTGTGTCACGTCCACCTCATTTCTTCTCGCCTTCGTGCGCTCCAGACCCCTCAGTTTTTGCACTGCAATAAAAAAAAAGAAGATGATTGACCGATCATATAGAAACGCAGATGGGGTCTCTCGGTCTTTTCGTTCTAGTTTATAAATTTCATATTATATTGCTAAGTTGTAAAAATAGATATCACGTTCTAAAGTGCGTAAATATATTATAAAAGTATATGTTAATATATATACAAACATATATCTGTGTTAAACATATTTATGTTTGTTAAAACAATTTCTCTTTGTTTCTCGAGGCAGCATTTGCTGCCTCAAATTATTGCCGCCGCAAATTATTGTTATATTGCTACAAAAATTGGGAATCCGCAATTTCGATTAACAGGAGCATTAAAATTTAACGAGTCTAATTATTCGTGGTTGCAAAATGGGATGTCATTCATTGCAATTTATTTCTGGTCGGAGATAGCGAATGTATAAAGCGTTCGCAAAGAGCATGAATGACGTTGATTCGGGAATGAGCAGGTAATTATAGGCCGTCGCAAAGACTTACAAGCGTTTTCGCATTCGCGTGCAATGTATTCGATGTGAATTAAAAACACGTGATAAATTACGATATTCAGTATAGCCAAAAGTGTGAAATCTATCGAAAAGTGCGGTTCTGCAACAGAATTCGAATATTCTAAAATTTAGATGTCATTGCAACTGCGATCGATTTTCATATTTTCAAAGTCGAATACTAGAATTTATTTCATTGTCAGATAATTCATAATTCGAATTCCTAAATAAGAGCGTTAAATCTGCAATAATGTTGTATTAATTTTTTTTTGTATCAATCTCCAATTGACTGTCAAAATAACATTAGTGATTTTTAACAGCGATCGATCTGTATTCGAAGTAATCATTGTCGGTCTAAATTCTTTCAAAACTCTGCCCCGCCGCGATTGCAACAACGGCACATAATTTTCTATGTTTGCTCTTTGTGCGAAATAGATATTTGATTCATGGTTTTTACGAGCGGGCCTGAGTTTTACGTGCCGTTATCGGTGCCAATTTTCGTGCCAGAAAATTTATGGCAGTCGTAAGAATCGCATTACGCGATGTCGAACTCTTTCTGCATTTTGATATTTTTGCAGGTGATACGCAACGGCTGACGCCAATTATTATCGCAATTCTGACATTATCCAGTTTTCTGAATTTTAATAAATCTCTTCTTGCAAATATTTTAATCTTTTGATAAAACTGATTACGCAAAAAAAAAAAAAAAATTGCTCTTATTTTTGAATTACTTTTCTTACATTTCTCATCATTTTCTATACATCTCAATATAATATTAAATATGTACATATAATATACGTATATAATACATATTTTATAAAATTTCTTTCGAACATCAGGCACCACGATCTTGTATATTACATGTAATCCAATCTTGCTAAAATAAGAATACAGTGTCATTGTAGAACTGATTCTTCAGCTGACAATTTCGTTTCTTACTTGCGGAAAAGATCGTGGCAGAATGTCGCATTGAATCAGTATAAAAGGATAATGACGATGCAAGTGCCGCCGTCCTGTCGCGCACATGACACAAACCAGCTGATTTGCTGCCCGGTCCCGCCGCTCTGCAAGACTTTTTTCATTTATCCGCTTATGTAACACGCGTATTGCAGTAATGTCGCTCGTGTACATGTACATACGTATCCCCTATTCAGCACAAGAGGATCTGCCTGAAGAAAAACCGACTCGCACTTTAAATTGCAAAAAAGACGCGCGCGGACAACGTTGTTTATTGGCAAAAAGAGAATCTCTCTTCTCTCTTCCTCCATCTGTTTTTTTTTTCTTTTATTTATCTACCTTTCATTCACCGTTTATTTTTACCAGTTCAACCATATACGTATTCTTCCCGTTCTTTGTTTTTCCTCTTTACGCTTATATTCTGTTCCACTTGTTATGTCGCCATATCGTTTTGTTACTCGTGAATGGTTGCATGTGTATTTCGTGACCCGTTTGTCGTGAATTCGATGGAAAAGAAAATACCTCGAAGAAACGGTGCATCGTAGAGATTACGAAACAATATGCACGTACATTTCGGAGTATTTTTTTTTTATCGAACGTATTAACATAATTAGCCATAATAAGAGCGATTCTGTTTTCACACGATTATACATATATTTGCAAACATTACGATATATCTTATAATTTATTTTATTATTAAACATTTTTAATATATAATCGTGAGACAAAAAAAATAAAGATTTGTAAAATTATATGTTTCTATTGCGGGATTCACTTAAGGATGGAACACAATCTCCACAAAAATAATTTTGGAACCGATAACTCTTAAAAAAAGGAAGATTATTATTGAGGGAGGGAAGGGGCGAGACAAAGAAGGAGCGTTTTGTGGAAATCAGGAAATCCATACGTTTGGCAATGGTTCGCAAATCGCGGGGAAACGGGCTTTTCTGGCACGAGATAGATGACGGCCGGATGAACGGCGGCCGTGTGAGTGGCAGGCACTTATTATTATCGGTTATCCGGTTCCGCGAGTGCCAATATTCTGTTATGCTCAACCCCGCGCGTCAGTCCAGCGCGGCCGGACTGGCTGGCCGGCAACACATCTCGCCACCCGGTCGCCTCTTATCCGTCCTGCATCCATTATTCGCACGGCAGTCAACTAGCCAACCGATCGGGGCTGCATTTTTCCACCTCCGAAAACCCGATATCGTTTGGTGATATCGCTGTAGAGCCGCGTACAATAAAACTGCATATTGTATACAGACTATTCGAGACCTAGTGAAACTCGCACCGTTCCTCTCATCTGTAAATTCTTTTGCCGATTCTTCGAGTTATTTCTTTTTTAGTGAAAATATCGAAGAAGAGATAAATGACTATTTGTCATTAATTTTCAAAATCAATATATTAAAAGATTTGTTTTTCCCCTCTTTTATTCGTATAAAATCTTTAACTAATCATTCAAATTCAAAATTTGTTGAAGAAATATTGACCATCTAAAATTAAGTCAAAAACTTTATCCTGCTTGTACTCCAAAGATTATTTTGTTAAAAAGTTTGTTATAAATTGTTTATTGTTAATTCTTAGAATTTAATATTTTTGTTGAAGCAAAATCGATTCCAAAAATTGATCAAAAAGTCCGCTTGTAAAAAGTGAATCAATAGAACTATAACAACATTCTCTCTTTGCATATATACATATAGGTTTTACAATAGATAACAGAAACTTCGGCGCGATGTACGACAAAATAAAAACTCGACAAGCTATTAATCGAACTCAATCTACGTGTAAAATCTGGAAAGCTTTCAATGAAAACAATCCAACAGTCGAATCTTCATCAACGATCGTATATTGCATAGCATGGTCGACAAACCATGCTTTGTTTTATTTAAAATTATTTTCTTTCTGTGTAGATAGCTTCATTTATTAATCACGAACATATTTATTGATGTTAAAAATTCAAAACATAAAATATTATAAAATTCCCATTGAAAAATAATTCCTTTGAAATTTTATAAAAATACTGCCTTGCATCGTAATTCAAAAATACAATTGACCAATGAGAGATATTGCAAAGTATTTCTTCAAATTAAAATTCACAATACATAAGACAAACAAAAAGCTTATCGAACAGACGTGCGAGAGGGGCTCGATTAATACGTAAAATTTAACAACGAGCACGTATTCGGATTACTGTCTCGTTTCACTCCAGAATCGTTTAGGAAACTTCGCGTTCTCTTCGTTTCCATCCGAAAGTTATTTCTGCAACGTGGCCTGGGATCGATAAACCCCGAATCCGTCCGTCGCTCTGTCCATGTCTGCCACTTTCGCGAGCTTAAGAGGTGGATAATTATCTCCGCTACATACGAGCAAGAAGCTCTTTAAACGGCTTTTCCAGGATCCGCTTTCTTTCGTCGTCGCCGCGTGTCATTAACAAAAAGCTAGCTAGTAAATGAGCTTTCTCATCAACCGTCGTATAGAGAGTGAATAAAATATACACACATATAATGTATATCAAAAAATATTAAATTAGAAATATATGTCAAAATAATTTCTTGTTTAATATTTGGGTATTTTTTAAAATATTTTATCAAGCGTCAAAATTTGACATATTAAAATTAAATTTACCGGAAATATATAACCGGACATATCAGTTTTTTCAATTTTAAGTCAATGAAAATAAAATAATATCTTTTCGTAAGTATATCGACTTATTGAATTACATGTTATCTGAATTGTGTTTATCGCATCCTCGTATTCTTAAATAAAAACTTATCGCTTTTCAACTTATCATCAATTCTTACTTGACAGTTCTTGATAAATCTATTTAACCGAAGATTATAAATATATAACGTGCAATTTTTATCACGATGGTGACATGCGCCAACGTTATTTTATTCATCAATCTCATTAGTACTTTATTAAGGAACAGTATCTTCAATCCCCGCAATTAACTTCCATAAATTAACAGTGCCCTATGACACCCCATCCACCAACGCAACTTCATTAATAAAGGTTCTAATTACATTAATTATTTTATTAGCGGTTATTGTGCGCATAATGTGCATATAAATGCGCTATTAATTATAATGGATACAGAATGTGCCTTTTAAGATTTACATCAAATTTAAGAACATTTGCGAATGTATTTTTGACAAATTTAAAATCAAAAGTTTCGCCCAGATAAATGATCATAAAATATATCTCAATAAACTATATATATCCGTTGATTACGATGAATCTCATCTTTTACCGAATAATACCATGCATATTAAATTAATTTAAAAAAATTATATATTATTAATGTATGTTATTAAAATATAATAAATATAATTTTTTAAATAAATATAATGCATATATGTATTTCAGTCTCCGGCTTGGAATTTAGTCAACCAGATACAATTTCGATAAACCGAATATTCTCTCGCATTAATTAATCTAGGTATTATTGGAATTGTGGCGCGTACTTACTCGATTCTCATGTATAAAAATCACGCTCGCGGGAGTTATCGGACATTCGGCAATCTGGAATTTTACAAACTGTCTTACGCGT